TGTAAATATTATTTTCTTCAATCATTCGTTATGGCCTTGAGGATTAATAAATCCCTTTGAGCTGACTTTGAGGAGTACGCTTTCTTTTCTTGCTCTGTCCTGCACTTTGAGGTACACACACACACCATTTTTAAAAGTGTTATTCCCTTAATCTCTAGACAACATTAAAAGGGACGTAACAAATATCATATTGTAACCACTAGATGGATTTACAGCTCTCTGTAGAAAGGCTTGTGAATTCTAGTTGTTTTGAACATATTTGCCTATTTTTTCAGGTTGTGGATTTTAATATATAATAAGAGATTCTCAAAGACTATTTTTGTCAAGTTTTTTGAGAATTTTATGATAATAATTCATATTTATGCAATAATTATGATCCATTTTCCCCATTGAATATAATAGAAAATGTGTGTATATATATATATATATATATATATATATATATATATATATATATATATATATATATATATATATATATATATATATATATATATATATATATTATTTTTATTTAATTAATGCTGTATTTCAGGTTAAATTAGAGACTAGGCCTATAGAATTTATTTTTTTTAAATCAGATTGGTGCCATCTGGTGGAAGTAGTGAGCATAATTATCATGCAATATCATATTGTAACCACTAGATGGATTTACAGCTCTCTGTAGAAAGGCTTGTGAATTCTAGTTGTTTTGAACATATTTGCCTATTTTTTTTTTTCAGGTTGTGGATTTTAATATATAATAAGAGATTCTCAAAGACTATTTTTGTCAAGTTTTTTGTTTGTTTGGTTGGTTTAAAATTATTTTTTGTACAATTCAATGAACAGTAAATCTTATTCAAAATTGGCAACAGCAATTATGAACAAAAAACTAAAATAACAGCAAAAGTATAATTATCAAACAGTAAATGGAAAATAGGATGATATTTAAAACACTTTTTTTATTTCTCTATTTTCCATTTACTGTTGGACAATTATTATACTTTTGCTGTTATTTTAGTTTTTTGTTTATAATTGCGGTTGCCTTTTGAATAAGAGTTCGGAAGAGTTCATTGAATATGTAAATAATATGCACATAATATGTAAATATAGTTAGGATGATATTTAAACCTTTTTTTAATTTCTCTAAATATATTTACATATTTACATACTAACTGTATTTGTTACTAACTGTAACTATTTTATTTCACATATTCTCACATTTCTCTGTTACAGTTTCACCAGTCTCATATTTCCCTGTGTGTGTGTGTCTATTTTGCAACCTTGATGGCTTACAGTCTCATGGTTTCATTGCTGTGCGCTTTTTATTCCTTACATTGATGAATAATTTCTTTTATTTCACACATTTCCCAAAATTAGCTTTTGCAATGACACACATTCATTTGTGTGTGTGTGTGTGTGTTTTTGTGTGTACAAGTATGTGTGTGTGAGAGTGTGTTTGTCTGTTTTGCACTCTTGATGTTTTAGAGATTCACAACTTCACTGTTGTGCTTTTTTTCTGCATCGTGGCTGATTTGTAGATTGTACGCACAAAAAAACTCTGTATTTTCATATTTTTGCCAATTTCCCATTCATTTCCTATGGCGGTCATTTTTGACCCGAAGGTCCTGAGTGTGACTATTTTTTTTACGACCACTTAGACTTTTCAAATCATGTCCCCAATGTTTTTGTGTGTTCATATACTAAGTACCATAAAAGTCACCAAGTTTCGTACCATTCCGCTGAAGCTACGATTTTTAACATTTTTTTATTTAAAAAATTCCGGTCAGAAATGACCGAAGTACCCCAGAGGGTAATGAGTGATTTTAGTGTATTAAGTGATGTGCAGCCTGTACATATCTCTGTTCACACATCTTAAAAAAAACTCAACTTTTTAACTCAACATTAAAATATTTTAGATAATCTCTATCATCTTCATAAGAGACTTACAATTTTGAAGTCTATTGTGTCATGAGTTTAGTCTATGTTTTTGTCTTGTTTCATGTGTTACAGCTATCTGTCATGTTATTAGTGTTCCCATGTGTTTCCCATTAGCTCTTGTTATCTTGTTTAGCTTGTCTATCCTTGTATTTAAGTCAGTGTGTGTCATGCAGTCTTTGTTGAGTTCTTAATGTTATGTGGCTGGTTGTTCAGTTCCTGAGTCCTGTTTCCTGTTCCTAAGTTTCCGTGTGTGTATCTGAGTTTGTGTATTAAACAATACTGAAAATGGAAACTACTGCCTTGTCTGCTTCACCCGGCCGTGACATATGGTTAATAACAAAACAACAATGTCAATGTTCCTGTCAATGTTGTTTACTGATGATCTCACAGTGCTGATGCTGTTTTAACTGCTGTTGCTCAAAAACACACCAGAGGCGCAATTTACAAATTAAATCAATATAATGGAGCTTTATAAATAGAAAGATGTAAATATCAGTCAACAGTACTGGTAGAGTTGATTATCAGTCGATCTCTAGAAATAATCACTGTGTGTCTTGTCTTCATCTGTTCCGGATTCAGGTTCATCTTCAGCTGTTATAGGAGGAATAAGTGCTGCTGTTGTTCTGCTGTTTGTGACAGTCGCTGCTGTGATTTAATATATCGCTACAGGAGATATACAGCAGTGAGAAAAAATGGCAAGTATAACGTACAGCTGATTATACAACATGTAAATAGGAGATTTATTGTACAAATAGAATGTTTAGAAATATGTTAAAGTATGTATTTGTTTTCTAATTGACCCAAGTAAGCGTTTGTGTTTGTCAAACAGGTGATGAGAAAACATGCAAAGTTCCTGCCGATCGACTGTCCTGCACAATTCATCTCCAACCATCATCAACGTGATTAGTGCCTCGATTTAGAAAAATTGGAAATGGACTTGAATGGGCTCTTGGCCAGACGGACTTGCAGAGGAAATCTCAAATTTGCCGGAAGTTCGTCAGGGTTTTCCCAGGCTATGCACTTTTAGTATTTTGGATTACAATGGTTATGATGATTGTTACGTTCTAGCCCCCAAAGACAGAAAGGGGATCCCGAGAAGGCCCTACTCGAGCCCACCGAGACCGGCAAAGGACGCAAGGAGTCGTGGTGCGAGAAAAGGACACAAACACCAATTTCCATATAAAAACCAAAGCTTTTATTTAGCCACAAAATTAGTGTAAGCAATCATTTTCTGGAAAGAAAAAGGGGAGGGCTGGACGGACCAAAGCAAAGAAATAAACAAAAACAAACCCCACCCCTAATCTATGCTAATTTTGATTTATAATTTTTTTATACTTGACCAAAAAAAACTAAGTGTCTTCTTTTTTAAAGAAACCATGACAAGGACTATAGGAATGAATTGCAATAATTTAAAGGGGTCATGACATGTTTTTTGTTTTATTATGTTTCCTTAGGTGCAATTATAGTATTACTAGTTTTTTTGGACAAAAACCTTTTATATGCAAACGCCGGTCATATGCAAACGACTGGTACGTCACTTCGTACCGTGACGTCACTTTGTACAACGGATGAACAACGAGCCTTATTTAGAGCTTGATTAAATAAATTGTTCGTTTATAATGAGGAGGACGTCATAAGCTATGAAACTTGCAGGAAGTTTTAATGGTAAAGACCTCTTATATACCAATAGATCAAGACAAATTTGGTTTCTCATGTCATGACCCCTTTATGTTCGTTTAGCCTGTCATTTGCGAGTGTATGCTCAAAAATGAGGATGACAGGAAAGAGTCTATTGCACTTTAATTTGTTTAATTATTGTGATTCTTTTTTTTTTTTTACAGATTTTTTAGTTTATTACCACTTCATATTTATTAGAACTTTTTTTATCAGTTTCCTATTCATAGCATATTAAAATTCAGTTCATATGAAAGAAAAGTATTTATTTATGGAGTTATTTATTGAGTTGGTTTTGTTCAGCGCTATCTAACAGCTACTGAATGTCTTTATAGTTGACGTGCAGAAGTGAATGTTTTTTATTGTACTTTCTTGTAACAAATGTGTTGTAGCCTGTAACATTGTGCCTTTCTGATGCATGTTTTTACTGTTGAGTTTATGCATTTTTGTGTGTGTGTGTGTATTTACAAAATAAAAATTGATTAATCTATTCTGTAATAAACAGTTAATAATTGAACACTGAACACACCAGTGAAGCAGATAATGTTGAAGAGTGTGAAAAGTGTCTGCTGATCTGGAATCAGACCGCACCAGTTTCAGTTTGACTCAGAAGATGAACTTAAGTAAAACTGACACTGTGAGATTGCAGACGGGTTTAAATATTTATTTTCGTTTTCCGTTCACTGAGAATTGAATACATATACAAATATACACAACCATTTTAAAATCACTAGAGTTAGGCTCTATTTTACCATGAAATGTAGTTTATACACAATTCACACAATTCTCTTCTACTTTTAGCCATTTAACAGTCAGACAGTTACAAAAAGTGTGTTAAATGACAAAAATACAGAATCCATTATGAACAGTTAAAATCTTAATAACAGCCAGATAAACTAACAATAAATCATGTGCAAAAACAATGTGTGAAACTGGGAGGGTCAAACTGTGTCGTTGGAGGATTCACACCAGATTGAGTGTTTAGCAGATAGTTTCATCACACACTGAACTACTGGAGAAAATGTTTCACGTGTTTGCTTTGCTATGTTTGTACTTGTGCCTTCTGATTGGTAAGTTATAAATATATTTTTGGTTTAATTTAGTGGAAAAGCTGCTATTTTCGATGGCTATACCTGTAAAAAATGGATCATTAATATTGTAAGATATGCTTGCTTTGAATTCAGGTTTCCAGCGGAATGACATAAAAATAAAATGTTAAAAGTCATGGAAAGTAATGGAAATCTCTAGTGAATGTAAATGCCTCAGTTTATGATCTGCATAGAGGCGTAGAAAGCCAGAACTTTCCATGGAGTAGCTCTCAAATATCAGGCGATTTTTATACTTTTAAAAATAAATGTCTAAAAATACAAGTTTATAAATACAGCTACAAAACTCCAAATGTCAAAATGTGCAGGAACCCCGAGAGCATGAGAGACAGTGATAAAAAAGAGGGTTTGTGTCATACTTGTCTAAGTGTCTCATGAAATATCCAGCTCAAGTAAACTTGTGCATTTAAAACAAAAAAAAAGATCAAAGCGTCACACACACACACACACACACGTCTGTTATATCTCACCTTTCATTTTGTGTTTCTGCTGCTGTTTTGAATGTTCTTCAGTTCACATGAAAATAATACAAATTACAGCTGATTTCAGGATTTAAAAACCAACAAAACCTCGTCATGTTCTCCAGGTGTGTTTGGCACCAAGACAAATGAAATACAGTCAGTGTCAGTGATGGAGGGAGATTCTGTCACTCTAAACACTGATGTTACTGAAATACATGAAGAACAAGACATACTGTGGAAATATGGAGCTGAAAACTCTCTGATAGCTAAAATCAGCAAAGAGACTCAGATCTTCTCCACATATGATGATGTTCCTGATGGGAGATTCAGAGACAGACTGAAGCTGGACGATCAAACTGGATCTCTGACCATCACACACACCACAACTGAGCATGCTGGAGTTTATCAACTAGAGATAAAGGGAAAGAAAATAACATCAAAAACATTCAGTGTTTCTGTCTATGGTGAGTAGAGATCATTTGTCCTGTCTTTTATGCTTGTTTTATATCAAAGTATTGAATCGTTGAATCATTTTTTAGGTAACAAACTGTAAAAACCCTCAATACACTGGACTGAAATTTGTTGTGTAGATTTATTCATATGTCTGTTTATTTCCCCATGTTTCTCAGCTCATCTGCCTGTTCCTGTCATCAGTAGAGACTGTTCATCATCATCATCATCATGTTCATTGGTGTGTTCATCAGTGTTGAATGTGTGTGATGCGACTCTCTCCTGGTACGCAGGAATGAGTGTATTGTCCAGCATCAGTGTGTGTGATCTCAGCATCAGTCTCTCTCTACCTCTGGAGGTGGAATATCAGGATAAAAACACCTACAGCTGTGTGCTGAACAATCCCATCAGCAACCAGACCACACATCTGGACATCACTCAATTCTGTCACACATGTGCAGGTACAGCAGCACTGATCATATATGTGTGTGTGTTTACTGACCTGATCTCTGTCTTCTGTTGTAGATCAGACTGATGTGTTCACTTCTTCCTTTATCATTACAGCGGACACACACTCTTCTTCACTCTCTCCAGTGTCTCTGATAGTGTTGATCTCTGCTGCTGGATCTCTGATGATTGTTGCAGGATTTGGGATCTTCTGGATCTGCAGGAATCACAGAAAAACTGACCAAGAAGGCAAGTGTAACCTAAATAACATGTAGCTTTACAGTTGCAAAATATTTTATCAAAAATATGTATTCTGTCCATGTGTGTGTTAGTGGGGAAACATGTAAATAGTTTCACATTTTTATCCTATTGTAAGTTTTATTCAGTGACTTTGTGGGCACTTGTTTATTTGATATTGTAGGCAGTGTAACTACTTTAACTGGATTTAAATAATAGGACACATTAGAATATTTGTCAACCAATCAGAATTAAGCATTCAACACTCTGTTGGTGTCACATTTTAGAGACTTTTATATTCTGTTATTTAGTTCATGTTTCTCTGCTCTGTTCAGTTTTGTTTTTCTTGGTCACTGATTATCATGTTTGTTTTAAATATGTAATTGCATGTATTAATGCTTTAACTCTGACAGCCCTAATAATAACATGTTGCAAAATAAACAGATCTAGTTAAGATTGTGTTTTGTTGTTAATGCATCTATTATTGTTGTTGTAGAAACAGTTCAGACTCCTGATAAAGAGATCACTTACGCTGATCCAGCATTCCACAAAAGAAACTCACACAAATTGGTAAGACTCCTCATTTAAGTTACTCTAGGAAAACATAGTTCCAGAAAAGATAAAGTAATTTATTTTTCTACATTTGTGAGGTAACATTTGCTTTATTTCAACATTTACTCTCCTAATGCAGTGCTATAAGCATGCTGGGAAGTATACAGTAGATCCACAACTAATGCAATTAGTTATTTCATCATAAATGGTTCATTTATTTACAGGATATTAAAGAGGAGGATCATGTGGAGTATGCACCTCTTGCCACGGGAAGTTGATCAATCTTCAGTCTTTTATTAGTATCAGATTTGTGCCATCGCTCTCAGTTTGTCTTTGGTTGAGTTTAGGGATTGTGAGAATCACCACATGTAATACTTAAAGATTGATGAAAGAAATTACCCCCTAAAAAGAATTTGCTTTGAAATACAAATCATCTAAATTGTATGGTTTATTGGAGCAATTTCATGTTGACTCCTTAAAGAGAACATGGGCCAGATTTACTAAACATCTACCAGATCCGTCTGGTTAAATAATGCTTTTTGGGGTGGTAAATAATGCAGCAAACACCAATAAATTGACTAGCGCAAACCTTAGTAAATCACCTTGCGTGATACATTTAAATACTCTCTTCCCATAAATTTTGCGTTTGAAAAGGAAACTTCTACAAATGTTTATGCAAATAACCCTGTCCAACGCCTTTTCAGCGCAATTACAGCAGTCTCTTTAATAAATCCTGACAGTAATTGTTTAATGCCAAAAGAGGGTTTGCGCTGGAGGAAGATGTTAGTAAATCTGGCCACGTGGGCAAATGTAAAAATGTGTGCAAGAGCAAAATGTAAATGCACAACACTCATCATATTTTAAACCTAATTTTTGTTTCATTTATTCTTTTATTTCCATCTGTACGGTATTGTGATTTGATCTGTTGGGTGAACAAACATCTTGTGCACGAGCATCTACTGCTGGACGTTTGTGTTTGATGTCAGTTTGTGAATCCCAGCAACATAGTGTCGGCCCAGATCCGGTACACATGGATTCCACACGTACCAGATGTGGGCCAACACTATGTCTGGGATGTGTCTGAGGTGAGAATAGTGTGTGGGTGAAGGGTGTTTTGTTTTCCATTCGTGTTCATATGAAACCATTTGACTTCTGCATTGACAAAACTGCTTTAGTACAAAATACTGAATCTGACAGATTTGACTAAATTCAAACAGCAATAATAATGTAACATCTTACTAAGTGTTTGTGAAATATTAGGACTGATATTCAAGGGCATATGCATTTCTATATACAGTATGTATATTTAGTGTATCCATGACCTCACATTCTCATGCTGTGATCCTGCAGACAAAGCTCTGCTAGTTTCAGTAGTTATTTCCAGAGTTTTTGAAGAGGAACTAATCTTGATCTCATACCCCTTTTTTAAACAGGACGCCAGACTATAATATTTGAGAGTAGCACCAGTGCCAGCAACTTTTACAGATAAAGCAACTTTTAGCAGAAGCTTGAACTTAAATGAGATGTAAATTTATTTTCATGAACAAAAACAGTAGCTGTATACCCCAGTAAAAATTGTCCTGATAAATCATTGTCTTATGAGGTAGATAATAGCTGTTTCCACTCACCTATTTTATGTGCTTTTTGGAATATCACATACATATCAAATGTTGTTTGATGTAAACACCAAGATGCGTATAAATTCTACACATGTACAATTGAGTATTTTTTATCCGATTACAAAACATGCGCATAAAATGTGAAGGAAACACATTTACCCGAAAAATTTCCAGGATGCGCATCAAAAAAAGTAATGTGAGATGCATGATGGGACGACATAACTGGACTAACCAGTGGACGGATCTACTGTAGTTGCACAGCATCTGAAATGTTGTTTTGGTCATTTTGAAACGCCTGAGGAAAGCCAGCTGTCAAAGTGTTTTTTTTTTTTTTTGTTTCAACTGTGTTCCCAAAGAGCAGGCCCCAAGAGTTAAAACATTTTTACCACGTTTGTTGTGTTTCTTCTGCACAGTCTGAGATGCAAGAAATTACATTTGAAAATTACTTTATACAGTGGCTCCTCATACTTAATCTTCTTAGTGATATTTAGCGGCAGTTTATCAGGAAGTGACAATTTAGTTCTCTTCGACTCACTGGATGGAAACGGTCCTTTATTTGCAAATGTATTGTGTGATATTCCAATTTAAAGTAACAACAGGTAACTTTTCAACCTTCATAATATATTTCCAAGTCTCTTGTGATGGTACATCGACTTACAATAGGTTGAATGACACGACGGGGTCTGTAGCGTTTTTAATCATACTTTTAAACTTCGGGTTTCGGGTAGTAACCGGCGAACAAAGAGAACTACAAAATTCGACTGCTTTACGGCATATACGTCACTTCCACCACCACCCCCACTTCCTTAAAATCGGACGTGCGAGCCAAATGTTATAGTCATGGCCGAAGCAGCACAGAAAAACAAGAGAGCAAAGGTTTTATCGGAGCAAAGCAAAAAGAGAAAAAGAGAAAGTGATCGCGTTAAAGGCAGAACGAGGATCAACATTGCAGAGCTGCCAACTCTCACGCATTGGCCGTGAGACAACCGCGGTCAAGCCAGCCGCAGTTTGAAAATACACGGTCAAGCCAGCCGCCAAAAAAAAAAGCGTGGGCGCCTATTACTATGAGTACGGTAATTTCAGTAACAGCAGAGAAAGAACGCGCTTTCAGAGCGCTTGAGTTGCCCAGTTCTATCTATCTATCTATCTATCTATCTATCTATCTATCTATCTATCTATCTATCTATCTATCTATCTATCTATCTATCTATCTATCTATCTATCTATCTATCTATCTATCTATCTATCTATCTATCTATCTATCTATCTATCTATATTTTATCATTCTATTTCTTTCTTTTCTCTTTCTTTTTTCTTTCTATCTATCTTTCTATCTTTATTTTTTCTTTTTTGTTATTTCTATCTATCTTTCTTTTCTCTTTCTTTTTTCTTTTTTGTTCTTTCTATCTATATATCTTTCTTTTTTCTTTCTTTCTATCTATTTTTCTTTTTTCTTTTCTTTCTTTCTTTTTTTTCTATCTATCTTCTTTCTTTCTTTCTTTCTTTCTTTCTTTCTTTCTTTTTTTTCTATCTATCTTCTTTCTTTCTTTCTTTCTATCTTCTTTTTTCTTTCTTTGTTTCTTTCTTTATTTCTATCTTTCTTTTTCTTTCTTCGTTTCTTTCTTTGTTTCTTTCTTTCTATATTTCTTTCTATCTATCTTCTTTCTTTTTTCTTTCTTTTCTTTCTTTCTTTCTTTCTTTCTTTCTTTCTTTCTTTCTTTCTTTCTTTCTTTCTTTCTTTCTTTCTTTCTTTCTTTCTTTCTTTCTTTCTATATTTCTATCTATCTTTATTTTTCTTTCTTTTTTCTTTTTTCTTTGTTTCTTTGTTTCTTTGTTTCTTTCTATCTTCTTTCTTTCTTCTTTCTTTCTTTCTTTCTTTGTTTCTTTCTTTATTTCTATCTATCTTTCTTTTTCTTTCTTTTTTCTTTGTTTCTTTGTTTCTTTCTATCTTCTTTCTTTCTATCTTTCTTTCTTTTTTCTTTCTATCTATCTTCTTTCTTTCTTCTTTCTTTCTTTGTTTCTTTTATCTATAAAATCTGTGTTGTTTTTTTCTTTAGAGGTAACACCTCAAGACATTTTTTATGTAGAGGTTTACAGCATAATTATTTGCAGAAAGCAGATCAAATAAAGTATAAACTGTTTCTAAATGCCTCTTTTTTCATTTTTTTACCATATTAAAATTACAGTTTCTCTTGAATTCAATGTCCCATACAGTGTGCACACCTCGTTTGAAACAATTTTACTAAAGCATTTTGGAGGTATATGCAATTACTCTACTTTAAACACCTATAAAAACCTCATTTCTAATAAGTAGAAAAAAAATAATGGTCAGTTCTTATACGGGACGTCCCATACAGCATGCACACCTCATATCAAAGCATTTTACTGCAGCATTTTGGAGATATATGCCATTATTCTACCTTAAACACCTATAAAAACCTAATTTCTAATAAGTAGAAAAAACTAATGGTCAGTTCTCATACAGGACGTCCCATACAGTATACACACCTCATATCAAACCATTTTACTGTAGCATTTTGGGAATATGTCACATTTGACTATTTCAGAGGCCTATAAAGACCTAATTTCTAATAAGTAGAAAAAAAAAATGGTCAGTTCTCATACGGGACGTCCCATACAGTATGCCCACCTCATATCAAACCATTTTACTGAAGCATTTTGGAGAAATGTCACATTATTCGACTTCAGGGGCCCATAAATACGTCATTTCTAATAAGTAGAAAAAACGAATGGTCAGTTCTTATACGGGACGTCCCATACAGTATACAACCCTCATATCAAACCATTTTACTGTAGCATTTTGGAGAAATGACACATTATTCGACTTCAGGGGCC